CAGGTAGGAACAATTAGTACATTTTTTTTCCAAAGCCCCAGTATTGAGGTGCTTGGTCTTAATCTTTGGCTACTAAGATTGTTTGTGGGTATGTATACTTTTGTGAGCTGTCAACCTCATGATATACCTGCACTGAAGTGATTACATCACGTTCTCAGGTAGACAACGTCAAGACGTTGCTGAGTACCGCGTCGTGTAAATAATGAATAATAATAATAAATAATGAGCTCTCCGACTGTATGAATGGTCCCAGAAATGCTATCCGAAATGAGATTACATAATCGGTTTTCTGCCATTGCTGTTTGTAAACGACCCACGATTGTGATTTTATGTAAATGTGTGCTTTTGTATCCAATAAGCCGCTCGTGAAACACTGTCCTGTTCAACTACGCAACCAGGCGAGAGGTCACCGTAATACCGAGTTATCTGCGCTATTCCGTTTCCAGGTTGTTTCTGGTGGAGTTGCCGCGAATTCCGTTATTCGTGCTGGTCTGTCAGAAGTTGCACAGCATTTCGGACTTCCGCTGTTAGCACCACCGGCCCGTTTGTGTACAGACAATGGTGTTATGATTGCCTGGTAAGTTTAAATGCGTTTATCAATTGAAGGCATCCGATTCCGAGAACTGACTTATTTTTCTCCATCGGTATGTGTGCACATCTCATATCATCATACGAATTTAGGTGAGCTTGTGATACAAGGCCAGGGGGCAGTGTGCCCCTTTTCTTATATTTTCCACGTAGGACAGCCAGCATCGAGTTCCTTGGTGTGTGCATGGATAACATAAGTAACGTAAATAACATAGGTAGCGAGCACTCCACTCCTCCATATCATTTCCAACAACATGCCTGATAAATCAATCTGGACTGCTATGTAGCATGACTCTATTTTGTCCATAACACGAAGGTGTTGTTCTGCCTTTTTTGCAAAACATTAAGTTCAGAACTTCTCGCCATTGGTAGGGAGCCCATTGCCATTGATTCCTATTAAGCGGCATCGCTACTATGTAGTGTTTCCCCGATATTCAGCCTAAGTTATTTGGTTTCTTATGTCTTTTAGCTCATCATTGTCCTTCTGTGAATGTGCTGTGTATAGGGAATTATTGCTCTACTGTGTAAGTTTTCAATATATGGAATTAGCATCCGTGAGTCTTTGTTAACAGGAACGGCTTGCTTTTGAAACGGGCAAATCGTCGCGTCACCTGGGACATTTCCTCAGTTGATTTCGAACCCAAGTAAGTCGAATGCTTACCACAGTATTTCATTCTTTCATACCGTTGTCTAAGACCACACTGTCCGACACTATGCATGATCTGTTTATGGACCTCCGTCGTACTGTTCGGAGAAATGCCCTCCCTGTTATCGTAATCTGCAAGATCGCCAGTCATTAAAGAACATTGCGTTGGTTGAAAACAGCGTGAACCGCCAATTTGCGGGAACCACAAATTGTTGATGGGACCATTATCCACACGTCAAGTAACACACCGACTGTCGCGCTTTAGTTCTCCGGTGATATGATCTCCTCCCGGTTGTGTAAGGAAACACGTCACCCGGCTTCCTACGGGTCATCAGGTGCGTTCAGTTTCCGGAGCTGTTTTCGCTCCTACAACTTAGGGGAAACCGCAGGACTGATAGGACGCCGCCTGACATAAGTCACCGGACCCACGTCACACTAGCAGTGCCGTTTCCCTCCATACTTGCAAGCGGGTTTCAGGTGCGCCAGTTATTGTGACTGTCTACAAGAATCGTGCTTCGGATGCCGCCAATTTGCTTATCTTACTCCGAGAAGTTTCCTGAGGTGCACCATATCGACAAGAGGAATTTCTCCTTCCACCAGGCTTATAGAGGATCATTCCATCCCTGTCCGCTGTATCAAGTTACTTTTCTGTTTGCACCTGGATGTTTGGCCTTCTTCCTCGACCGAACAGAATGTACCGTGGAACCTGTCTCAGTAGGCATGAGTACAATTACCGACCCTTTTAATGTCCACTGGTGCCATATAAATAAATAAATAACAACCAACTCCTACACTCATAAGGGGATCGTCACTGTGCGAACGGTGATATAAGATTCAAAATTGTCACAAGTGAACAACGAATACCCTTTACAATTTTTAGTCAAGTGGAGGATATTTGGAATGGAGCCATAAGCGAGGGACACTGTTGTGTGTTGGAGAGGAGGGTTTAATTTCTTAGCGTAAAAGAGACGTGAGAGTAGGAGAGAATCCCTAGCGTTGGCTTCGTACTTCAGAAACTTTCTTCAATGGAGACATTGGAGTTACAAGTTCAGCTGGTCATAATCCTGAAATCCCAACAACTAGAGACTCCAAATATTGCGCAAACGAAGGGAACGGCTTCAAATACCATAAAACATGTGGACGTTATCCTAATCACAAAGACAGACAACAGTAAGGCCACCGTCATCATTACTAAGAGTTAATGTCTGCAGAATTTTGGACAAAACCCGGTTGATTGAATTTACCGACTAGCCAGCAGGGGAACCATTACGTCAATAATCAATTAGCGTAAAGTCGAAGCTTTGAGGTATTTAAGATCAGTGAAAAATCATCTCGGTAAGGCAAGTGGCATTGGTTGTACCCAAAAAGTGCAATCCAACCATGACTTAAAGTTCTACTAGAAGACCGAACTGCCCTGATTTACTACCACATGAGCTAGCCAGATTTCTGGTAAGTGCCCCAAAACCGCTTATCCGTAGGTCACACACACACACACACACATGAAATTCATGTGACTTCGCTGAACAAAATGTAGCTGGGCCTCCGTCGGAGCCAGACGAAGTTCGATTTAGTTTTAGTGTCAACTGGATGCCCATGAATGTTTTTGAGATGGAAACTCTAGAAGCCGCAAGGCGATTGTTAGGTGCGAGATGGCTCAATGGTTAGAGCTCGAATTTACTCACCGGAAGGTCCATGGTTCGAGTCTGACTTCTGCCTCTCAGCTTCCCTGTCTAGGCTTGTGGGTCACCTGGCAGTATCCCAGCCCTCGTGCTTCCTTTGGGTGGGCACGGCAGTTAGGCTCTGAAGGATTGTTACTGTTGAACGATTAGCTTATTATTGTAAAGCGATTGTTACTAGCAGACATAGTACTGCAAAATGCACGCGATTTTCCATAGACCTGATAGTTGAAAGCGTCAGCATGTGCTTAAATTTTGGTGACTTTGTTTTTGACTCAGTTATACTTTCAAGAACAGTGGGGTTTCCAATATCCCCGGATTTAGGGATATATATTTATGGGTGACTTTGGACAGACACCTTTAACTGGATTTGTCTATTGAGGGTTTCCTGGTGATACGTAGGTGACAATTTCGTTGTATTGATAAAGTTAACGAATTGTATCCGAGACGAGTATTGACCCCAACACCAATACCCAACGATGAGTGAGTTGGAACAGCAGTCATCCCCTAAAAAACGGGGGCAGCTGGAGTTGTACACCAGAGTCAGTTACCACAAGCGGTGCATAAACAGATCACGAATATCAACTGGTAGTTGATAACTCGCTAATGGCAGGGCACGCACTCGGCAGGCAAATAGATTTGGAAAGTGTGAAATTTTGGAGGCAAAAGCTAAGGCTTATAAGAGAGACTTAGCTGAGGCGGTGGATATTACCTAGCATCCCATAAATGGCAAGACTGTGGAGAGCGGTTTTATGTCGGCCCATATGACTCTAGGCTGCGTGCGGTTATCAATGTGATGTTCTAAGGTAATCTAAAGTACGAACCCCAAACAGACTAGGCTCCATTTACTCTCCCAATTCCAGTTGCTCTACGCACAGACTAATTCCGACAAGAATACTCCATTAAGATGTCCCAGACCGGAAAATCATGATCCTAAAATCCCGATCCAGCCTGATTATCCCCCTAAGCAACAGATGTGATTTTCTGATCGATATATGGCACTGATTTGTCGTAAGAAATCTCACTGATTAATCTTCTGACCGCCTTACAACTCAGTCAGCCTGGTAACTGATTCACTTCAAGTGACGAAGCTTTTGTGTCAAAGCGAAACTATGCTCATCAATGAATCTATTGAATATTTACCAAACCTCTGAAACTTACCCACAAGGTTGCTGAAAACTTCGACAGCCCACGACCGGTTTTGCCTTTTTGGGGCTCATCAGGTAGGCGCAGTCCCTGAGTTTACGTAAACTTTATGTTTTACTTGAACCCAAATTGGACTGTTTTCGAGAAGTACATTCATTTGCAAATCAATTTGGTTTTCACGAGATACTCAACTGAATTTATTTTTTGATATTCTACAACTGAGTATTTTCCTTCATGAAAATATACTGCAATATCTCGAAACATGAGGCTCTCTGCAACCTATTGCAATGTGTTGAGGCGTTTACTTTTGCGAATCGGAAACACATTTTGCCGACCTAAGGAAGTGTCCGTGTCGTTCACCTTCTGGAGTTTATTGGTGTGTTTGGCGAACTGCTGATTTAGTTTTTCTCTCATTTTAATGCACATTACTTATCCAGTGTGCACGGCATGATACGCCCAGAATGTTGTGGGAAACAGTCATGCATTTTACCCTCTTCAAGTTGCTTACGGGAACTTTTAGATGTTTTTCAAGAGCTACTCAATCAAAAACTGTTAGTTACTTGTGGGAGCAGCAACCGAGCGCCCTTCAGATTTGCCTTTGGACAGCCTTGTGCCCGTTTATGAGAGCACAGAGCATCTCAAATCCATCTGTCAAAACGGCCCCAAATGTTTACAGAAGTCCCTGATTTTACCGAACGATCCGATGCAGTACAGTAGCTTTAACCAAACGCGTGACATATATGACTTGGAGAGCATGTAGGGAGTATGAACTGCCCGAATGTCATAAATCAGTGACTGAAGATAGGCCACTGTGCACCAGGTAAACCAGTTTGTGCTATACGGCGGAACTGTTAAAATGGTCACTTCGATGGATCATCTCATCCACAGACAGTAAGGTGATCGGAGTTTCTTCTTGAAAATGTGATCTCATACCATGTACTTACTGGATGCTTGGAATTACAAAAGCATGAGGAAAAGCTCTCAGTGGAGTGAACTTGTACCACCAAAACATGTTAACTTCAAATTGCATGCCATGCATTACTAACAGAACGGCTTCTACTTCACACAAAAGTGGTCTGGATAGCTACTTGCAGTTGCATCACAACACATCACACATCGATAAGGCATAAATCAAAACACATCCACCCACATGTTCAAGCTCAGCAACTAACGGAAATTCAGCTGCACTCCCAACTCCGCTGCAACATTTACGTAATTAGGTTCGAGTGGCCAACTCGAACCTAATGTCAACTCGAGCATTACGTGTGTCGTGCTTTCAGCTTCTATACTGTAATGATTGGTGAACGATGAGGATGGTAAAATCAACGTAGCTGCTGACCTACCGCCTATTTTCGAACACAAATTTTCCTTTTTTCGATTCCTGTTCCCACATACCAGTAGGCTGCTATACCTTTTACTCTTATCTTCACTACTGTATAGGCTGGTACCACAAACCGGTCAGTATCGAAGTATTGGTAATTCGGGTACGAACATGTCAACAGCCACCTTATCGACAACCATTGACAAGTAATCTGCGCAACCGAGTACTTGAAGAGGGGCACATGCTTAGCACACATTATGGCACTGTGTCCATGGCAAATTGAACAGTGCAGTCGAAATGACCAGCCTGGTGGACAATGTGTCCATAACAAAATTTGTCATGAATAATTGTCTCGGCATCTTCAATGTAGTGTATCCTCAAAGTGTTCTGTGGCGTTCTCTGCTGAGTAAGTAAGAGCCATTAGCATGTAAAGATTGGATACCGATCAAATGGTCGGTCGGGTGAGTCGCAAGTTGTTTATTCCCACAATGCGGTATTTGTGTATCCTTTGGGGATCAGAGATCGTTTTTCGTCAATGACCTTCATCCTGCTGTACTTCGAGCATAAAAAATTGTCTGTTTTCTTTTTATAGAGCGCCTTTTGGGATTGACTGCCGTGCCTTAGTTCGCAATGCTGAGATTCGGATAGAGGCTATCAAGATCAATTCGGTACCTTAGTTCGTCCAATATTCCACTTTCTCCATGTACATTCAAGAATATTTTGTTTCGTATGGGCGTTGCTTCTCGTTTCTGTCAAGGAAGTTCAGTTCAGTATCTTATCCGCATACCCATATCTTGGTCCATTCGACCTCCTACTAGAGTAGGAAAGGTTCGTAGAACGCACCGAATACTACTAGGTTGAAAAGTTGGAAAAGGTTAGTGAATGAAGCTTTGCTACTTGCCTTGTTCCATGTACTGAGGTCCCAAGCGCGAAATACGTCAATGTGTTTACGGCGTTTTATTAGGTCTTTGATGTCCGGTTGCGTTGCGATCTACAAATTCAGTGCATATTCGTGTGCTGAATACAGAAGGAGTTATCCGAATTATTATTACTGGATATTTTTAACGCGTCCAAGTCAGTTAGCTGGTATTGGTATGATAACTCTCCATCGGGTACGTGCCAGTTTACCGCCAGAAACATTCTGACTTACTGATGAGTAGGTGTTTGTCACGTACAAAACACTAGGGTGGATGAAGGTAGGCAAGTTAATCCTTGCAGCGACCTTCTTTATCCACATAGTAGCCTTGAAAACCCCTCCGCATGTTAACATCGTTCTATTCCAATTGAACCTTGCAGTGAAGCCTCCAGAACCACCCGCCATTCCTGAGGAACTTACCACTGAAGATTTCGTGTGACCCCTATACTGGAAAAGGAATGGTGGTCAATCGAGTTGGTGGGCTCCTCATCTTCGGAAACATCTTCATGATCTCCATTAGTTTGCATCAGTGGAACGGAACTAGGGATCGCAAAGTAATCCTGCATATGAACTGATACGACTATCCCAGGAGACATTTGTCCTGTAGTGCTTCGTTGAAGGTTCTACAGTCACTCTCATATTAGCTATATCCTTTAGGGTTATTTTGCCCATTCTCTGAGTATCCTTAAGAGGCATTGTTCACCACCAGAATAAGGTTGTCGAGGCGCCCAAGAATGGCGATTGCTTATTGGGATAAGTTATCGATTGATGTGGTCATAACATGACCATACGTTATCATTTAGTTCTCCTGCCATGAGTCACCCCGTGTTCCTGATTGTGCCTAGGCATTCAGCGCTACCTAATTCCATACCCGGATGTACCCACGTAGGACTTGGGGTTTTAACGTCTCCATGACCTGGGTAAAGAAGAGGCAATAATCTGTTTGGCTGTACAGTCGCGGTAGACCAACTTGCAACTAGTACCATGTAGGGTGTTAGAGTCTTTAATACTCAACGTGACAGTTGTGGTAACGCCCCAAACTTCCTCTGGAACCTCCGCATCTTGCGGCACTTTGGCGTGTCTTGGAAATTTTTGGGCAGGAAATAGCATGGTTCCCGCGACTGCGTTGCTCTCTGCAAGCACATTTCGTGTGACGTCATCTGTTGTCAGTGACCATAAGATCGTTTCTTTTAGTAAGCGTCACTTCAAAAAATATCCAAGATATTTTTTGAAAAGATAACTTGTCTAGGTTCGGCACATACCTCGCGGACCCCTCCGCATCAGCAGGTACCTATTTATACGTGGCTCGACCTTTTTCCAGCCTGCGCTAGCCCGTCCATTTCACCTAGATCTGGGTGAATAACTAGCTTGTAATCTCTGAGCAGGACGGACTTGTCGTCCTTGTTCTTAAATCTCGTGGAGTGCCAGTCATAAAGTTGGTAAGACCTTGGTTCACGGCATCGTTGTCCTCCACTTGACAGTTCTGTATTGCCCATAGTTCCCAAACCTGGTACTCAAACTCGCTGGTTTCTAGTCCATTACTGACTATTTAACCCTTGCTATTTCACTCAACACGGTTCTGTCGGTCAAACAGTGCCTATGGCCAGTTTTCTGCGGCCATGCCGTACAACGGCCTCGTATAATCTCCAAACGGAAGACCTTGTTAACATCCAAGCTCCCACCGCCGTGAATATAAAAACAAGCGACTTCAGTCTAAAAACAACGCACATTCAAGTACTGAGCATGTAAGGATGAGAAAAAAGGACAGCGTAATACAGTATCTATTGAGCAGAGGAACTCGGTTAAGCGAAACTAAACTAATAACGCAATCAATCAAATCAAGTAAATTGTTCAGTCCCTTGCTGTGTGTTAATCATTTGGATATGCAATGTCCAGGTGTCCGCGAGCCATTGTGTTCCAGGTCCTATGGGACGAAAAAGAGACAAGAGCGGTGTCATTGCAAGACCACTGTCTGCAAACAAGTGGGAGAAGCTTGAAACCTATTGAGAAGTCATCGTCTCACAAGGACTTAGTAAACGGAGATTTTAACTGAGGGACATCTCGCTTTTGACAAAAGCTTCATCAGGTCACTAAGTTGGCTAGGTTTTAGAGCAGACGGGAACACACCATATCTCGGTTGGAGGGTTTTGTCAGTTGATGTGGTTACCTAAGTCTTATTGTTGAAGGGTAAGGTGATTTTAACTTATTCCTGTTGGACCTTGTCGTGCTTGGCCTCATGTTTACTGTCTCCAGATTTTTTCAACAAAGGATTCGCTGTAGAATTAAAGCGTTTGACCCCGCCGCCTTTCCCTGTTCGCCGGTATTACACTCAATTTCGGGACCCCAGATTGCGCTGAGTGGGTTTGTGGCATCCAATCTTGAGGGCCAGTAATCAAATAATACTCTTGTGTTATTCGAGGAATCAAGCGTGGGTGCATTAGTGGTTTTACACTGGTAAGCAAGGTGGTCCTGAATATGGTGACGTGGTGCTTGCTCCAAGCACCTTCAGACACCGGATCGGTGGTGTTAATATTCGGTAAACTGCTGTGGTATCCAATAGTTACGGATTGGAGTAGATCATAGTCTCTTCCTTGTGAATTATTTAATTGTGTGCAAGTCACGATCGCCACATGGTTTCCAAGTGTCTCTTTGATGAAGTGGCTACCAATGTGTTCTGTAGATCACTGCTCAGAGCTTGTTCTGATCACACCCCAGTCGAACAGGCAACTTCTCAAACATGATATGAACAAACATCCCAGGAGGGTATGTTGAGACTTGCATAACCAGACTTATATCAGTAGGATAATGATCCATCTTATGGTTTCCGCATCTGCTGTCAGAATGAGGCCTTCCATCCCCCAGGTATATTCATCCGAGCTTCAAGTGAATCGTCATCTTACCCTCTTACACAAGCACTAGAAGGTCGTGGTCACCACAATGGAAACCCCACCTGATTGAAGTCACTTGTCGTTGCACCCACCAGATACCACGTATGCCAACAACCATGCCTGCTGGATTTGGTCATCACCAACGAAAAACACTTCGTTGATCAGGTAACAATTAACGCTCCACTGGGACGTAGCGACCACTGTGTGCTGACCTTTAATTTCATCTGCTATTGGGCCAGAAATCCCAAACCTCAAACGGGGTTTTGAGACTTCTGCCGTGCAAACTTCTCAGGAATGCGCATCTTCCTTGAACAAGTCACACTGAGACCAGCTCCGGTGGAAGAACTATATAGGATCATTGTCCAGAAAGTTCACGAGGCTGACGCGACGTTCGTCCCAAAAAAACCGGTACGCACTCGGATGAACCGCAGGATGCCAAAAAGGATTCGGCGACTTCTGGAAAAAAGATTCCAACTCTTTTTCAAAAAGTTGACTACAGGGGATACAGAAGATGAGCTGGTATTTCGTAAAATGCGAAACCGCTGTAAATCGGAAATCCGCCAAAGGAACATAAGAAAACAAGCCACCATTCTGGACCTCGCTCGGAAAAACAAAAACGTACTGTTCAAGTACATGAGCCATCGCCGCAGAAACAAGCCATCCTCATGCTCCTTGAGGGACAGAAACGTAGAACCGACAAATGACCCAACAGTCGTATCTGAGGTTCACAGAGAACACTGTGTGTCTATACTCAGCCCTAGCGTCCTCGTCACATCCACTCTTGTCAAGGCGAAACTACGAACAGCTTCTTATCGAGCCCTCCACACTGGCAAGTCATCTGCACCTAGTGCTTCGTCAGTCGCTTCACGAAGGCCGCCTTTCCTCTGCTTGGAAGGAAGCGATTGTCACGCCAATCCACAAAACTGGTGACCGACTGTCGCCTGGCAGCGACAGGCCTATAAGCCTCACTAGCGTGCCGTGCAAGGTGATGGAACGCATTCTGGAGCGCGCTATCCTAGATCACTTTACTTCCAGCAAATTGATATCTCCAGCTCAACACGGATTTCTCCCAAACCGTTCTTGCGTGACAAACATGCTCGTGGTTATGGACAGCTTAACCCAAGCCAAGGACGAAGGACTCATATCGGATGCCATACTTCTCGACTTTTCAAAAACATTTGATTCCCACCCACACGTCCCGCTGCTCCACAAACTCCAGTCTTACGGGATTCAAGGCAAAATCGTTCGCTGGCTCAAGGCACTGCTATCAGACAGATCATTCCGAGTGAGAATAGGCTCGACCTATTCCTCTCCGGCGCCGGTCTCCATTGGAGTTCCTCAAGGCTCCGTCTTGGGACCACTCCTGCTTCTGATCCACGTCATTGACCTCCCCGCCGTTCTTCGAGTCCATGGTTTACTTTTTGCGGACGACTTGAAATCCTGGAGTTTCAATGCCAGCGCCCTCCAAATGGATGTAGACGCTGCCAAGCAGTGGTCGTTGGACTGGCACCTTCCTCTGAATGGTGAAAAGTGCGTCCATATGTCGTTTGGAGTGGATTCAGCGAATGCCTTTGTTATGCATGTTGAAAAAGGGCCAGAAAGCATCATGAGGATAGATACCAAAAAGGATTTGGACATCTGGCTCTCCTCAAACTTGTGCTTCCCACTGCACCATGAGAAATCGGCCCGAAAGGCATTCGCCATTTTACGGATTATCCGACCCACCTTCTCCCGTATTACTCAAATGGACTTCCAAATACTCTATGGGGCCTACGTCAGACCGCTCTCGGAGTACGCGAACCAAGTTGTCTACTCAGGTCGCGCGAAATTCGTCACCCTGATTGAGCGTGTCCAGCGAGCCGCCACTAGAATGTTTGCCGACCTCAAATCCG